GATTAATGCCACAAGTAAGGATCAAACTGTGGTTTCTCTAAACAGTCTGCAAGACTTTCTGTTCCAACCTTTACAGGGAAAGGGTAGAGGCAGTTTGGTGCTAGTTTGAGTCTTTGTTAACAAGTGGCTGAGACTTATGATTGCTCTCTTTTTGTATATTTAATGTGAGCCATTTTAGAGAGGCGAGTTTGTCACAAGTCTTGTGCTAATTGCTTTAGTGAACCAGAAAGAAAACAACTCAAATACTGTTTCTTTCTCTTGAAAATTTAGATAATCAGCTGCTGGTCAAGTCAGGTGAGAAAAAGTGGTTGTTAAACATGTCATTTTAACATGTAAGCTCCAACAGATAACTTCTGCCTCTTACTTTCTCTTACAGTAAATGACTAATTTTGACTTGACTCTGATAATTGTTTCCTTTAAAGGACTTCGTTTGCCTCTCTGCCTTTCCCCTGAGCCAAAACCGCTGATGCTGGAAGCAGTTATCATCTTCCATCCATCCAACAATATCATGCCTTCCTTCACCCCGGGAATTGGCTTGCTGCCCTGTCCCAACTACTTAGGTTTTTTGTCTTTACTCTTAAGGCTTTTGATTATCTCATTCTAGCTCTAATTTTTTCATCTCCTTTGTCTTCTTCCTGGTTTAGTTTGTTTTCTTTCTCACTATTTGCTTCACTTCTTCTTTCCATAGAGGACATCTGAAATGGTATTTTCTTGCTTGGCAAGTGTCTCCACAGAATGTGTATCTTCCCTTTCTTCCACTAATCCTTCACATGCTCATCTCCTGTAATGGTGTGTTTTTGATATTTTCTTGACCTCACATAGTCATTTACATCAGAATGAAATGAGCCTTTTTTCTGGATATCACTTCACATTCATTTTAGATTAAAATGAATGACTGCACAATGTGAATCACAGGGAATCATTAGCCATACTTTCTAGTATTTGAAGTCTTGTACCATTGTTTATTCTCACCTTAGACTCTGTAAGGAACTGTCTTCCTACTGAGGAACAAAATCTACACCTATATAATTAAAAACATCATATCAGTGGGATTTACAAACATAAATGCTGACAGTGGCAGGCTTCAGACACATATAGTAATGTATGACCCACCTCTTATTTTAAAGGCGTGTGTTTGATAGTAGGTTATAACTGTTCTCAGAAGTTACTTCTGGTTTTCAATTTTAACTCTGTGCCTCACCAAAACTGGAAGTGTTTCACCACCTCCTTTCCTTCTGCTGTGTCCAAGCTAATGAGTGGAACCCCGAACCAAAGATTTCTGATGTGTGCCACTTGCTTGTTTGCTTTCATTTGATATTTTTCTGTCAGTTTTAAATCCCTTGCTGCCATCTCTGATGAGCTGGGTCCAGGGCTTCCTGCTCACTCTCCTTCTGCTTCTCACTTTCTCCCCATACACATCAGGGTTCAGCACTGTAACATCTCCCAGGCATCCACTTACTGTGTTTGTGAACCAAGGAACCTAAACATCTTAAATAGCACACAAGCAACAAAGTACTTGACAGAGTGTTTCACATATTGATCTGCCTTTTGATAGACAATCCAGCACAACTAGATACATTTTCCAGTGTTTAATTACCTTTAAAATTAAAAGTTGTAACTAACTTGTAGTCTGAACTGGGTGACCCTCAGTTTCTATTTGTTGCATATGATTAGACCTTCATTTCTTATTATTAAATTTTTTGTTGTCTGTGTATGTGCTTACACAGTGAGTTCAAAGTTTTTTCCTAACACTCTTATCCTTCTCATGAAACTTCTTCTGAATAATTTTTTAATCAATTTATAAGCATTTTTCTTGAAACAGGCAGAGAGCTAGATACATTATTTCATGATGGTCACTACCAGTGCTCATTATGCAGGTAACATGACATTTCACTGGGTGGAATCTAGTTCAGTTAATTTAAACATCTACATTTTGTGCCCCGGCCTTTAGCTGATTAATAAAACTGACCTGAAGTGAATACCTAATATAGTTCTTATAGAGGAAGAGGCTCCTTTGAGGGCCTCCACAGAAAACCACTAGGAATTAGAGGTTTTAAAAACCTAGTGTCTCCATTACTGCATGGGGAATTTGGGTTTATGCTTGAAGACGGTGCCTGATTCATATTGAAAACATTTAGGCACAGCTTGTGTGCCTAAATTAGGTGCACTGGATCACATCTTGATTAACAGCTAGTGCACCAAGTTACTAGGTATTGCCTAAGGTCCAACTCAGATCCATGGTCCACTCTGTGGGTGTGTGGGTACAGCATGTTAGCATAGCATGGAAAATGTAGTTAGTCCCCTTCTCTCTGCCATCAAGAAGATTTCATTCAAATCCAAGGCACAGAAAATCTCCACAATAATGTTTAATTTGAATTTTTGAACCACTTCTCCCAGTTCTTCTGAGTTTAGGGTTGCCAAACATTGAAAATGAAGAGAAGTGGAAAACTGAGAAATACTCACTAATATGTGTTTACATGAATTGGGGTCTCCTGTTTTTCTACAGGTTCATAATACCAAGCTCTTACCAAGATTTAAGAACATCCCACCAGTCTCAGACCTTGCAGATTCCTGAACTTGTGTAGAGCAGAATCAGAAAAACACCGTCCAGCACCTGCCCCACACACTGAAACACCATTTCTGCCCTCATCTGTGCTCTGGCTTTACAGCGGTGTGTTTTGCGTCATGGCTCACTGGCACCACAGTCCACCAGAAAACATCATTCGGGGCCCTGTAACTCTTCCTGGCAGATCTGCCCCCTTTGTATAACTTGGCACTATTCAACGTGACTAACGGGCTCTGTCTGCTCGGTTTCTGTCTGCTGGGAAGAGCAGTAGGCCTGAGTCAATATTTAGACGAAGGAGCTGAATCAAACCACACTGTGTAAGGGAGTTTACTCTGTGGTTCACTGTGAGCAGTGGGTTAAGAACTTGGGCTTCCAAAGAGGCTAATTCAAACCTGCTGGGATAAACCCTGTTCCCGGGGCTGAGGGAGGGGAGGTGGGTTGTGGGAGGGGGAAAAGTTCCTTGCTTAGGTGGGAGACTACCACACCATCTCTCTCTCTAGCCCCTACATCAACCTCCAGGCTTAAAGCTTGTTCCCCTGGTCCCTTTACCAAGTGCTTACATGAATCAATGGGTAAGCAGGTTCTCACTGTTACAGAGCCATCAGCCCTATCCAAAAAAAGCATCCTACTGGGACTCCTTGGAAACTGCCATGGAGGTGGGCCCTGAGATGCAGTAGTAAGGTCATTCTGTAGCTAGCAAAAAGTTCTGAAATTCTGGCTCCTTCCTCATGAAACCATAGCATCCTACATCCTTGGTGTGATGATAGTAGGCAGCCTCATGCATTCGCAACATGGGATTCAGAGTCTAAATGCTGCCATTGCAGGGGCTGAAGTAAATGTCTGGAGCAAACACCAGTTAGTGAGTCTATTAGTTTGGAATGTACAAATGAAACTTCAGGGAGGATTGAAATGGGTGAAGGAGACTAAAGTGTTATTCCTCTGCAATGACCAATATGTATCACAGCACTTACCTAAGGTAAAGTCAATATTTTGAACAACAACAGTATATTGAAGTAAAGCAATGTGCAGACTGTCTTTAGGGAAACTATACTACACAATCATATAGAGAAAGGCTAATAATCCCTTGTGCCCATTATCCTGTGAAATCAGCTACAAAACCCATCTGGCTCTTAAATCAGGCATTTCATTGAGGGACTTTCCATGTAGTAAGCAACAGGTGGCAACGCAGCTTCCTGGGGCTGATCCCAGGCCAGGGGAGAGGAGCCGTGCATCCCACATCATGGAGCCCGTCCAAGCCTGGGATGGCTCCTGGGAGCCCCTACGCTGAGCAGAGCAGGGTTTAGCCTCCAGTTTTCTCACACAGGTCATGTTTCGCACCATGTCCCTGGCAGTATGGGCAGCCATTTCCCAAGGCTGCCCCAGAGGCTTGGAGCCACTGCAGTGGTGGGGCAAGCTCTGCCCAGCCCCATAGTAACCCTGGCTGTCTGAAGGGCTTGTGCACTTATTTACATGGCTGTTTATTCTGGCAATTGGAATGCAGGGGGAAAATTAGCCTTGGGATATCAGAGACTGCAATCTTGATATTGTCATAGTGACACGGCTGTGCTAATCTCACCTCATTTTTGGATGTCATGCTAGAAGAACTTTTTTTTTTCCATGACCTTATGTAACTCAATTTGCCTCCTACTTTGCATCTCCCACGCATGAGACATTACTGCCCCCCTCTCTCAGTGTATGCTGGAGTAATTTATTGTTTTCTCAAGCTGTATTTTTGACTAGTCCTTTCCCAATGCAGCCTTGCTAGAATAAGGAGTATCAACCAATACCAAAATGCAGGGGTTGCAGGAAAATTTTCCACTGTCAAATTGCTTCTCAGATCTCTCTAATTTCATTTGTCACTAATCCCAACCGTACACTTTTTGAAAGTCTTAAAATCTCTGCAGGTGTTTTCTCTGCAGGCAGTTTCCTACATGCGTTTGATTTATTCTCCCTGCACTCATCACTAAAAGGAACTTCAGATTGTGGCATTCAGAGACAAAAGCATGAACTTCCACAGTACACTGTTTGCCACCAAATTTTTTTCTCGATGTTTAGGTGAATTACAATTCCAAGAACTACAACAAGGCAAGTAGAAAAGTGTTGTGACAATTAACCCTTGTAAAATAGCTCTGTTTGGACAGGCCTGTTTAGTTAAGTTGGCAGGAAAGTCAGACGTGCTAAGCCAGCCTCACTGCAAAGTACAGCAGCTGTCTGCTCACAGCAGGCAGGACATGTGTACATTTTGAAGTCTGAACTGTATCTCGCCAGTACTGAAATGCAACGTCTCAGACCCCCCACAAAAAAAAGGAGAAAATCCTCTGGTATCGCTTTAAGGATCGAATGATTAAGCTAACGTTAACCAGATGAGAGCTTCAGGACAGACAGATGAAAGCAGAAAAGTGCAGACACCAGAGAGAGAAGGAAGTTACTGTACCTCAGCAAAAGGCACCCAAATTCCAGTAGCTACTGCCTGCTGCTGCCCTCTGATAACAGTGGCTTCTTGCGCGCTGACCGCTGAGCTACCTTCAATGTCAAACAGAAAGACGCCTCCCTCACTCGAGGCTGTGCTGGAGGAGAAGCATCTCAAAAAGAATAATACAGGAGAAACAAGGGGCCAGGCGGAGATCAAAGCCATTTCCTCCCCTTACATCCAGCAGTGGTCTTCTAGCGTCTCAGTAATTGTTTACCCTCTTCTGCAATCAGCCTCCCTTGACTTAGTGGTGCCTCAGTTATTTTAACTTTCTTTCAGCATTCAGTTTCCAGATGTGGCACTTCAAGGCAGTCTAACCAGATCCTTATTTAAAAAAAAAAAAAAAATAAGGGAAGAAAAGAGCTTTTGCTGCCTCCTTCGTTCACTCTCTGTGCCTGTGGCTCCTCTTTTTCCCCAGAGGCTCCAGCTCAATAACATACAGATGGGCAGTGCTTAAGTAGAGAGTGTCAAACAGAGACTGTATTCCAGGAAAACACCGCTGGCTCCCCAGCCACCTTATCTCCCCCTGTCAGGATACAGACTGACGCTCTGCTCAGTGCTCTGGCTTCCTTCACATGTTCACATCATTCCCTTTTTTACCTTTTGCGTCCAGACCCTCCCACTCAAACTTTGCTGTTCAGAAAGTGAGGTCACCCTTTCCTCTCCCCCAACGCCACCCCCCTGACAAGTTCATCCAACCGCTCCACACAAAGCATTGGCTGTCATGACTGCTTTTTTTTAAACATCTCCAGTTAATTCAGTGGAGGGCAGAAAGGTGCCAAATTTATTTAAAAAACCCTGCTAGACCAACCTTTTCTTTTGGCATGGGGGAGGGGAGGCTGTGGGTGGGAAGAGGAGGAGGAGGAGGAGGGAGACAGCCTGGCTGTGCCATGGGCTAATAGAGCTAAGTGGTTTCTCTAACATGCTTCATTCAGACCTTTTCCCTCAAGCCCACCTCTCAGCTTCTGGTTGGCTTGTGAAAAAGAATATTGTTCACTGTGATTTTGGAAAATGACTTCATTCCTCAGACTCATGAACTTCTATTTACAAAGAGCATCTTGTATTCCTTTCTCAAGAGATGCTTTGTGAGGCCCTGGTAACAAGGCTTGCAGTGTGTGTATGAAAGCGAGCTGAATATCTTACCCACATCTGACTTAATTTTATGACTACAATCACAGAAAGACAATGCAGTAACCATTGCTAGGTTTTGGAACAAAGTCAGGGTATAATTATAGTAATATGTGCACTGTTCCAGCCAAGTGGTCAGCACCCTGTCCCTCAGCTATCCTGTGTGTAGGGGTTTGTAGCACCATTGACCTGTCAGGCTTTGTTCTTAAATCTTAACAGAAATTGGCTTATTTGACTTCATTCTGGGAGTGAATTCCTTCTTTCTCTCTCCCTCCAGCCTTTCCTATCTGATTGAAGATATTATGAATGAAGGAAGCCGTCAATAGAAAATTAAGGGAAAAATAAAGTGCTTTGGTGATCTGTTAACTGCTACACACATGTAGGCACAGCTTTGGGCCCATAAATGCTGTACAGATGTCACATAGGGACTATAAAGAAGTTAACGACCAAAGAACTCTGCCTGATTCAGAAATGGTGCAGCTAAGCACACAAGGCCACTCAAGCCCATGGGATGAAGTATTACACTGTCAGAGAAGACCTGACAAGAGAAGCTGTGAGACCTAAGGCTATGAAGTTCAGGACCAAGGTCTGTGGGAGGAACTAAAAGATAGCAATGGTGCTTGCAGGTAATTTTGTCCTGATAGCAATGGAAACGCCTGTAACTGTTATGGTGGCATATGGAGGAGGCTCTCCCAGGAGCCTGATGGTGAGATGTTATTGAGGGCTGCCAGGACCTTTCCATACTTTTCTGCTCAAGTCAGTCCTGAGAATGATCTGGAACAGGTTTGAAGGCTTGGGGAGCAGAAGACCAGGTATGTCCCAGACAGGGACAGCATGAGGTTCCCACTATGTCTCTTGCTACAGGGACAAGTTTGAGGTGTAAATATAACGTTAAAGCAGGGGCAAGAAAGAGAATAAAACATCTCGACAGTAAGTGACAGAATCACCACTCCTGTGGTGGCAATGGAGATTTATAACAACCCAGTGAATTGTGCAGCAAATTACTAGAATATATGTGGTCAATTTTTTGGATACTTTTTTTTTAAAAAAAGCAACCACCAGAGAATCTTCTGCATCTGTTCCCAGGCATTAGGGAGGAACTGTTGACAAAATGACAGAGAAAGATAACTTGGGGAACAGTTACTTAAGGTTCATAAACCTTTGGATGGGAAGAACAGGAAAATCAAGTCCACATATTTCTGGGAGTCAGTCTTTAACAATGTCAGAGATTTGGGATGAAAGTTTTCTTGCCTAGCAAAAAAAGGAATTGAAGAAAGTAGGTCTGTAAAGAAATGACATACATCAGAAAGACAGGAAAGACAAGAAGATTTGGCCAAACTGTAAGCTCTTTCTGGACCTGAAGCTCAATTAAGACATATATGGGAAGTGAAAACTAAGACTACATCTAAGCACAGGAAGAACATATCGAGACAAAAGCTGAAAAGCAGAAAATTAATGTAATTTTAAAGACAATAGGTGTAAGAGGAAGATCTGGGAGATCCTTGGTTCAGTACTCATCAAACAGAGAAAGTTGTCAAAGGGTAAATCTGAGAAGTGATTTTTTTTAAGGTACAGGACTGCATTAAAAGGCTTCTTGAGGGTTTTCCTAGTACTGTGAGCTTTAGTGTTCCTAGGAAGTCATTAGCTGTTATGGATTTGGCTCTGCAGAATAATTATAGTGGAACAAAAATAATGTGTAGTGTTTTTTTTCTACAAGTGATTGTGCCTTCTTTTTTTTTCTGGATTGCATTGCAACAATGTAGAAAACAATACCTTTGAGAAAATTTTGGGAGAATTTCAGTAAATAAAATTTCAGAATAAAAGAAACTCCTTTCAAAAAGGTAATTTCCAGAGCATATAAGTTTTCTTTGTGTCTTTTCATCTATCTAGTGATGTGGTTTGGGTATAATTTAGGACTGGGGATAACCCAGAAGATGTATTGGAGACTAGTGGTAGATACTAGTCATTATGTTGTGTGATTCGTAGTTTTGACAATTTAATTAATTCAAGGAATTAAAATTAATTGAATTATTAAAACCTGGCAATTTAATTGATTTTTAAAAAGTCTTTTTATTGAAGGAATGGTGAAAGAAAGTTTAACAATGTATTCATGTGTACTTAATTTAGGTTAAGCTACTGCAATCTTGCATATAATCACAGAATCACAGAATCACAGAA